CCAAGTAGCTGGAACGACAGGCGTGCGCTACCACGCCCGGCTAATTTTTGATTTATGTAGAGATGAGGTCTCGCCAAGTTGCCCAGGCGGGTCGCGAACCCACAGGCTCAGGCAATCCATTCACCTCAGCCTCCCAAAGGCGCGGGATTACAGGCTGAGTCACCGAGCCCGGATCCTCGGTCAATATTTTAAGCAACAAGACAGACTCTTTCAAGGTCTTGTTTTCAGGAAGTTCTTTTGGATAGTTTTAAATATCAACTCTATTCCATTGTCTTATCTTTTGACTTCAGGAGATTTAATTTTACCTGTGTTGTCTTTGTTTGCTTATCTTCTTTATCTATTATTTTCTTTCTGGGCTTTTTCAGCTCCTCTTTTATATTGTTCCTGCTGTCTTAGCTTTTCTCATTCTATGTGCCTTATTGTACTTTCAGTCTTATCTGTTTTCATTTGGATATGTATAACTTAGTCTTTGTAAATGTGATGATTTTTATCTTTCTGTTTAAATTCTTTCCCAAGTTTTGCCAGCTCTCTTTTCACACATGGTTCTTGCCTTTTCATTCTGAGTTTTTGAATTTCTTATCTGTGTTATCTCTTTCTTATCTTTGATATCCACAATTATTTGTTTAACTTATTTTAAACTTCATGTTAGAGTATTGTGTTACCATTGACTGTTTCATGTGCCTTTTTCCGTTGGTCAATAACGTAAAATTTCTTTAGCAAGTAATGTGAATGTAAGGGACACCACTCCCTTTCAAGATGGCTTCCTCCATATCAGAAGTGATGCCTCTAGTCCCATTTTCTAAGCCCTTTCCTTTTGACTTCTCATTAGCTACTGCTCTGATCCACCACATCTCAAACCTATCTGTAGCGTTTTTTCCACTCTGGGTGAAATCACAAGTAGTTTGATTTAGCTGGAGTCCTGAGTTTGGTGAGGGCCTGGGACAGAAGAAAAATCTGGAGGATTGTGCAGGAGTTGTCAGAGAGGACTTTCTGTGGAAGCTTTTACAATAATTTTACCAAGGAATAGAAAGGTATAGAGTAAAACAGGAAGGAAAAAGGAAGTCACCATCTATACAGATATAGGAAGAAAACTGAAAGTGAGAATCATGATTTTTCAGCTGATGAAAATACTCCAGAATAAAAAAGAAATCCGGTGAGTGGATTGCCTGAGCCCACGGGTTCAAGACCCGCCTGGGCAGCGAGACCTCATCTCTACAATAAGTCAAAAAATCAGCCAGGCGTGGTAGCACATGCCTGTAATCCCAGCTACTCGGAAGGCTGAGGCGGAAGGATCGCCGGAGTCCAGCAGGCGAGGTGGGAGCAGCCACTGCACTCCAGTCTGGGAGACAGAGTGAGACTCCAAATCAAAAAAAAAAAAAAGAAATCCGGAATTTAGGAAGTTCTCCTAGATAAATGACACAATTTCTGCAACAACTGAACTGCAGGAAAACAGAGAAAGAGGGGTAGGGGGTAAAGGGATAGAAGGAGGGATAGAGAAAGGGAGGGAAGGAGGGAAATATGGAGAGATGGGGGAGAAAGAAGGGGGAAAGGGGAAGTGTGTGAGGGAGAGGGAGAGAGAGAGGGGTGTGTGAGAAAGAGAGAGACAGACAGAGAGAGAAAGAGAGAGAGAGAGAGACAGAGAGAGAAAGGAGGGAAAGAGAAAGTCCTAAACTGTGTCACCTGGTAGATGGTACCTCCCGGTGATGTGGTGCACCCAGAAATCAGGCAGACTGTGCACAGAGCTGAAGGGAGCGGGGAACAGGAAGAATGTTCACCAGGCCAGTCAGGTTTGTTTGGGTAGGAGGTGGTGAGTTATACTTTGTGGGTAAAAAGGAGATACCAGGGTGGGAGTGACAGCAGATGCTGAAAGCAGAGAAGGAAGACAGCACGGAGAGGGACAGCATGGGGCAGACATGAGACCTGGGAGCACAGCTGAGATGAGGAAAGTGGGAACAACAGGGAAGGCCAGGGCATGGGAGAGATGAGGCTGTGGGATCTGGGTTAGGGAGAGGATGGATGGCAGGGTCAATGTATGGGGGTGGTGCTGTGGGTCATGGTTTGAGGAGTGGGCAAATAGGGTTGGAAAAAGGCAGACTGCGGTCAGGGGGTGAGGGAGAGCTTTGCCTCCCCCATGCCGTTGATTCAGGTCCCTAGATTAGCTTCAATTCTGCCTCTGCAAGGGAAAAAGTCACAATTTTTATTGGACATACCCCAGACTCAGAGTTATCTTGCCTCCTGGGATAAAAGATAGGAAAGATGCTTTCTGCCCTGGGGCACGAGGGCACAGGGGCACGAGCGCCCACCTATCTTCAGGATTGTGTGCTGAGACCGGCTTCAAGGTGGTCCTGGAAGGGGCTGGCATACTCCAAGAAGTCAGCATAGGCAGGCAGAGCTGCTCAGAACAGGGAAGAGGATCCCTGCTGTCCAGGGACATGTCTTTAGGCAGTGGGACCAGTGAGTCTAGGCAGGTGGGGACAGTAGGTCCCAGAGAGGTGTCTGGGACTGGGGAGTTCACTTCAGAGGCCCCCGGGTCTGGAACAAGATGTTCTGCTCAAGTCTGGCATACTGAGGAAGGAGAGCCTCGTAGACCTGAAGGGGCAGAAAGAGCAGTTTAGAATGGGACAGAGAAAGATGCCTCTTAAATCTGGTTGCAATAAACAATTTTAAAATTTTACATCTCATTTACTTGCAATTTACCTCTTTTGCAAAGAAAGGGCATCAATTCACGAAAGAGCAAATGCTAGCAGTTCTCAAACCTATAGTCTAAGCTTTGTTTAAAAAAGTGTAAACTGTGACAACTTACAAACCAGTTTTTGTTATCAAATCTACAAAAGTTAAAGAAAATTCTGGGAAGGGTACCTGGAAATGACTGTGTCATTGCACAGCTGGTGAAAGTTTGTGGCTCTTATATACCTAATCCTGAATTGCAACCCATATCTTTAAAAAATAAATAAGCAGGGCTCAGTAGCTCAGCCTGTAATCCCAGCACTTTGGGAGGCTGAGGCGAGTGGATTGCCTGAGCCTGTGGGTTTGAGACCAGCCAGGGCAACTTGGTGAGCCCTCGTCTCTACAATAAATAAATAAGTAAATAAGTAAATAAATAAATAAATAAATAGCTGGGCATAGTATCATGCATCTGTAGTTCCGGCTATTTGGAAGGCAGAGGTAGAAGGATCGCCACAGCCCAGCAGGTCAGTGCTGGGGTGGCCGTGAGTGTGCCACTGACTCCAGCCTGGGCAACAGAATGAGAGTCCAACCCAAAATAAATAAATAAATTAATTAATTAAAAAGAAAAAGAAAGTTAGTGGTACAAACCTTCTGGAAATAAACTTAACTTTCTATCTGTATTAAGGAGTCCACAGCCTGTGACCTAGTTATTCTACTTCTGTGAAGCACTCCCAAGGAAATAACCCTAACGTGGGATGCCAAGTCTACCAAGGGTCTTCTTAGATTCCATTAAATGTTTAGACTTCTAAGACTGTCATGGGCCACTTTGGCCCTCGGAAGGATAGACTGGAGAAACATAGCCTGTTGTCAGAGTGGCTGTAGATGGCTTCTTCAATGGGAGACCAAGTAGTGGTGCAGCCAGCAATTCACACAGTTGTCCAGGAGAGGGTCTCTTTGTCTCCCCACTTTCCCCACTCTCTCCTCTTCAGGCTAAAGTTCAGGTGCAAGGAGTTGCGATCCACATCATACTGGTGCAAGAACCTCCCTGGCTTCAAAATTCCACAGAGGTGTCTCTTATAACAACTTGATAGGTAAGAGACATGCCCAGGAGGAGTCTGTGCACTCAGGGAAGCCCTAAGTAAGACTTCCTACTAGGTATTTAAAATTTTCCCAGTCCACAGCAGTTTCTCAAGCAAAGCCCATTTTTACATGGGCAATGTTGCCTAGTAACACCACTGATAATCCATTTTAATAGATCTCAAGGGAAACAGAGCTAGAAAGTTACCAAAAGTCAAATTCTGATGCAGAATTGGAAAGGATTTTATTAACCCTTTATCCATAGAGGGTTAACTATAGGTGAAAACCTAAAGCAACTGCTCTAAGACATGAAAAATGCTCAAGTAAATCATGGTTCATTAGCCAGACAGAATATTACATACTTTTTAAAAGTGACATATACTGGGAGACCGAGGCAGGAGGATTACTTTGAACCCAAGAGTTCAAGACCAGCCTGGGCAACACAGTGAGACCTCATCTCCACCAAAAAAATAAACATAACAAAATTATCTTGGTGTGGTGGTGTGCAACTGTAGTCCCAGCTATTTGGGAGGCTGAGGTGGAAGGATTGCCTGAACCCAGGAGGTCGATGCAGAGGTGAGCAGTGATCATGCCACTGCATCCCAGTCTGGGAGTCAGAGTAAGACCCTGACTCAAAAATAATGACATGTATGCACGTTCTTAAGAATGAAAATACTTCTGTTGCAATGCAGAAGTTCAAAAGAAGCTACAAAATTATATATACAGTGTGCTGTGTAATAAACCAAAACAAACAAAAAAACAGGGAGAAAAGACCAGATAGAGACACTCTCACATTCTTGCCCTTCATTTTTTTCTGTCTTTTTTTTTTTCCTTTAAGCAGTTTTCACCTGTGGCTGCAAAAAAATGTGTAAAAAATGTAGATGCACTTCAGGAGATCACATATTGTCTTATAGACAAACACTTAAGACCAAGGGACCCAGAGTTTCAAGGGACTTGCAAATAAACACAAGTAGGAGCTCATGCCAATCCCATTCCTTCTTAATTTGGCTTAATTTTCTCCAAAGTCAAGTATTTAACGACTGACCTCATAACTAGGGCCTACTCTTTTTTTTTTTTGAGTTGGAGTCTTACTCTGTCGTCCAGGCTGGAGCGCAGTGACACACTCATGGCCACTGCAGCATCAACCTGCTGGGTTCAGGTGATCCTTCTGCCTCAGTCTCCCAAGTAGCTGGGACTACAGGCACACAGTGCTGAGATTATATAGGCGTGAGCCACCGTGCCCAACCTAGGGCCTACTCTTGATGCAGCTGGAGCAGCTCTGCCCAAGAAGGCTCAGGAACGGTCTCACAGGCTGTCACAGCCAAAGAGAAGGAGCCTGCTGGCTTTCAAGTCCATGGTGAGTCTGAGCTGCCTCTGAGGACTTGAGGGATCCTTCCTTTGCTCTTCCAAATAAGGAAGACACAACTGATGTTCTGCTTCTACCCTGTGACCTTGTCATCTGTGAAGTACTTGGGAATAGACCCCGTGAGTAAAATAAAGCAAAAGGATAACAAGTGACCCTTTATAAAGAGGCCCACAGGAGAGAGGTCAAAGGCTGTCTCAGCCTGTACTGAACATTAAGGAATTGGAGAACAGAGGTGAGGGGCTTTGATTGCTCCCATGCAGGAAATTGCAACGTTCAGAGAAGCCAAGGGAGAAAACACTATTATTGCTTTGAGTTTGCACTTGGGCACAAGCACTGCTATAGGTACCACAGAGAGAAAACAGAGGATGTGGCTCAGCTCACAAGGAGTTTAAATCCAGGTCACAAATTCAATCTGCATACAGGTCACATGCTAACAATCACAGACTCAATCTGCTATTGAGAAGGGTTCCAAGGTTACACCCAGGTTCAGTGATAAAGAGTTCCATGAGCTATTAGTGACTCCTCCCATAGGCAAGCCAGGGAGGGTGGTAGTACACACACGCACAGAGTACTTGCTTCCTAGAATGAGACAGATGCTGCTGCACTGCCCAGAAGCTTTCCCCAATGACCTTGTTCCTTGCCAGTCTAGGAAGATAGAGGATGAAAGAGCCAGATCCTACCCCAGGCTTTTTTTTTTAAGTTGGAATCTCACTCTGTTGCCCAGGCTGGAGTGCAGTGGCATGCTCATGGCCACCCCAGCGTTGACCTGCTGGGCTCCAGCGATCCTTCTGCCTCAGCCTTCCAAGTAACCAGAACTATAGGTATGCGCTACCATGCCCAGCTAATTTTTCATTTATTGTAGAGACGAAGTCTCACCAAGTTGCCCGGGCTGGTCTCGAACCTGCAGGCTCAAGCAATCCACTTGCCTCAGCCTCCCAAAGTCCTGGGATCACAGGCTGAGTCACGGAGCCTGGCCACCCCAGGTTTTTGACAACAAGTGTTGGCCATCTGACTAAGTAGTTGTCTGTTGAGTGTGTGTGAGTGTGTGTGTGTGTGTGTGTGTGTGTGTGTCTGTCTGTCTGTGAGGGAACAGACCAATATTTATCTCCCTGATAAGCAAGAAGTATGTGTGGAGAGACTGTGCCCACAGTGCCACCCTCTGATTCCTGCTTTTGAATATAGTTGTGTGATGACATCTGGAGCGGATACAAATATACTGTGACCGTTTAGAGCACATCTAGAGTAGTACTATCCAATACAGTAGCCACAAGCCATGTATACCTCCACATTCTGGAAACATGCCTTGACCTATAAGTAAAAAATGTATACCAAATTTCAAAAGCTTCATTCAAAAATTAAAATATCATTGATTACAAGTTGAAATGACAATATTTTAAATATATTGGATTAAATACAAACATTATTAAAATTAATTTAACCTGTCCTTTTTATTTATTCTTACTTTTAAAAAATGAGACTACTAGAAAATCTAAAATAATACATATGACTCACATTATGTTTCCATTGTAATAAAGCCATTTTGGTCAAGATTCTTTTTAAGCCTCACAATTAGCAGGTTAAAAGTAGGCAGGACAGCCGGGCATGGTAGCTCATGCCTGTAATCCCAGCACTTTAGAAGGCCAAGGTAGAAAGATTGCTTGAGCCCAGGAGTTCAAGAACAACCTGGGCAATATGGTGAGACCTTGTCCCTACAGAAAGTCAAAAAAATTTGTCAGACATGGTGGCGTGTACCTATAGTTCCTGCTACTCAGGAGACTGAGGCAGAAGGATCGCTCTGAGCCCAGGAAGTTGAGGCTGCAGTGTACCATGATCGTGCCACTGCATTCCAGTCTAGGTGACAAAGTGAGATCCTGACTCAAGAAAAAAAAAAAAAAGAATAGAAAAAAAATGCAGAACAGATGTGCCCACTTCATAGACAAAGAAATAGAGGTTTGGAGATGAGGAATGCTGCTCAAGGTCACCTGATAGCCACACAGTGAAGGAGAGGCAGAAAAAGAATAAGAATCCAAATGTCTTTATCTCAGTCTCTCCAATGCATGGTGTGGCCTCTTAAACAAAAGAACACACAACAGGCCAGGTGCAGTGACTCATGCACTTTGGGAGGCTAAGGTAGGAGGATTGCTTGAGCCCAGGAGTTTATGACTAGTGAGATCTTGTCTCTACAAAAAATAAAATATATTAGCCAGGTGTGGTGGCATGCATCTGTAGTCCCAGCAACTTGGAAGGCTGAGGCCAAAAGACTGCCTAAGCCCAGGAGGTCAAGGCTGCGGTGAGCCGTGATTATGCCACTGCACTCCACTCTAGCCTGGGTGATTCTAACTTGGAAAAAAAAGAACACACAACAGAAAAATAACAGAAGCCTGGCACACCTATGTGTGTGATCTGTCTTGTCACCTGGAAAGCATGAGCTGCTTCCAAGATATACCAGGAGACATTTCTCTATGGCGTTTCTCCACATGTCTTGTAGCAGTTTTTGTTTCAGGCCATCTTTCTGAGGAAACTTGTAAAGCATTGAGACATAGTGTCTCTCTCCAGGGCACGGGGAAAATCTGTTTGCTGACAAGAATAATTAAGATAATGTCTCCTTTGGAGGCAAAGGTTGGACAGGTTTGCTTGTAGCTCCTTTGTAAGGCTGAGAGATTTCTAAGCTCAGAGTCCCTCAGTTGTGACACAGACAGTATTCACCTGGGCCCACTCTGCATAACCCTATGGAATCTGGGGGCCAAGGGAAACTAACACCAGATGCAGCTCATGCTGCCCATCGTAACATGAGGAATCAAGTCTTTGGTCTCTGACCCAGAAGTCTGTGTCTTCTGTCTGCAGCTAAGAAACTGTGGCAGGCTCACTTGTTAGTCCACAAGTCAAGTAAATCTCAGATCCTTCACAGTTCCTTCCAAGGTGCACCCATCCCTGCTCCTGGGCTGCAAGAACCTTCTGCAAACAGGTACAGTGTTGTGTTGGATGGATGGGGGGTGTACTGTCCAGACTCACCTTCAGGAACAGAGAAAGTATTTTCCCAACTGTTGAGAGTACTGTTGGCAGACAGTCTTCAGCTGCCAGCCTCTTTGGGGGACTGCTTCAGCTATAGAGAGCCACCTCACTGCATGCTGGGGTGGCCCACATACAATGATGGATTGACGTGGGGTACAAAGGCCCAGCCCACAGTCCAAGTGGGTAAAAGTCTAAAGGGCCATCTCAGCTTCAAAACTTCCTACAGGGCCGGGTGCAGTGGCTCAAGCCTGTAATCCCAGCACTTTGGGTGGCCAAGGTGAGGGGATTGCCTGAGCCCACATGTTCGAGAGCAGCCTGGACAACTTGGCAAGACCTCATCTCTATAATAAATCAAAAAATTAGCCAGGTGTGGTAGCACATGCCTGTAGTTCCAGCTACTTGGAAAGCTGAGGTGGAAGGATTGCCTGAGCCCAGCAGGTCGATGCTGGGGTGGCCATGAGCATGCCACTGCACTCCAGCCTGGGTGACGGAGTGAGACTCCAGCTCAAAAAAAAAAAAAAAGAACTTCCTGCAGGACTGGCTGAGGGCTGTAAGCCTGCCTCCTCCTTTTCCCTTCTATGATGTGGATCCCAAGAGTACCTCCCCCAGAAACCTAGCATATCTGAGTAGACATCTCAGACTCTGCTTTCTGGAGAACCCAACTGCAATTAGTAGAGTCTGTCTTCACAGGGATTTCCTGGCCTGGGCGATTGCACAGCAGTCTTGGATCCAGATTTGAGATTAAAATGCTAGAAACTCAGCATGTCTTGTGCTTAGGTGGCTTCTACAGCCCAGTGACATGGAAGGGTCCACCCTACGGCATATGGAACAATGAAGATGTATTCGGCAATCAATCTGACCCCTGGCTAGAAAATAATATCTGTGTGTTCAAGCTGATGACATGGCTTCTTTTGCTCCATTTTCTTGATAATTTCAAAAAAGCAGAGTATCCCCTTTAGTTAAGCATATCAAGTTCAATGTAGGTGACAATTTTGGAAAAAAAGAAAAAATTATTCATTTTTCACAATGCAAATGCTACAACAAAATTCTGACGGTCTCTCACCTGAGAAGATCCTGGGCTTGGGGTGACAGCTAGTCTGGGATTTGGAGCTAACTTCACAACCTCTGAAAAGGGCACATCTTTTCCACCTGCAAGACCTAAAAGGGAAAGGCCATTTCATATCAGTGCACGTCAGAAATGAAGATGTTGACCATTCACAGCACAAAGGTTATCGCTAGTGTGACAACCTGTTCGAAAAGTGGATTATACTGATGGTTGCACAAACTCAGTAAATTTACTAAAACTCATTTCATTGCACACTTAAAACAGGTGATTTTTATGTTATATAGAGAATGCTTCAATAAAATTGTTAAAAAGAAAGAAAGAAAGAAAGAAAAATGTTAAGTGCAGGCCTGTCCTCAGTTGGACTAGTCTGTCTTGCTCATTGGTAGTGCCTGTCATGGAGTAGGCCAGTTAGTCCTGACATACAACAGAATAGGAGGGTCTGCCTGTCTCTCCTGTCTCCCTCTCGGTCACCATGTTCTAGCTAGCCTGGTCTTCTCTGCCTCTTTCTGCCTTAGAGCCTTTGCACTGTGTGGAATGTTCTTTTCACTCTTCAAATCCCTAGTCTCTTCTCAGATTAGTTGCAGCTACAAACAGCATTTGTTTGGGGAGTCCTCTCTAGTCCTCCAGCCCTCAGCACCTTCTGCTGTTCCTCAGAGTATTTTCACAATTTGTGGCCAAATATTTGGGTGATTAGTTGTTTAAGGTCCCTCCTGTTGCCAAGCTTTAAACTCCATGAGGCCAGAGACAGTGTCTCTCTGGTCTTGGTCCCCCTGGCCCCCACCATCATATCTGTGGAGCCCAGCACACCAGCTGGCAGACAGAAGGGACTTGATAATTACTCATTAAGCAAATGAGTAGCAGGGCTGGAGAAGAGAGAAGGTTGCTATAGGTGAGCAAGAAACAATGAGGAATTTCTAGGCAAGTTAAGCAGTAGTATTAGATTGACAGAGGGGCCGGGCATGGTGGCTCATGTCTGTAATTCCAGCACTTTAGGAGGCTGAGGTGGGAGGATTACTTGAGCTCAGGAGTTCAAGACCAGCCTAGGCAACATAGCAAGACCAATCTTTACCAAAAAATAAATAAATCAAAAAATTATTCAAGCATTGTGGCACATGCCTGTAAACCCCAGTTACTCAGGAGATTGAGGTGGGAGGATTGCCTGAACCCAGGAGTTCAAGGTCACAGTGAGCCATGATCATGCCACTGCTCTCCAGACTGGGTGACAGAGAAAGACCCTGACTCAAAAAAAAAAAAAGATTGACAGAGAAACACCCCCATTAAGAATGCAGGAGGGCCTCTGAAGATGTGAGGACCAGTTTTCCTAACTAAATGCTAGAGCTGTATGGATGAGGGAATGGGACGGTTGTGGGGTGGTCAGCAGAGAAGCTAATTAGAAGACTCTGGTCCCATTCCACCCATATTCACAGACTGAAAGAATGCAACACTCATCCCCAGACCCAGTTGGGGAGAAGAAATCTCCAGATCAAGTGTGTGCCTCTGGGTGGGGATTGGTGAGCTGGGATTTGGCTCAGGCATTGGTTCCAGAGGGTAAAGTAGGGCAGTGCCCTAGGCACCCTTTGGTAACTAAATAAGGAAAGAAAGGAAAAAATAAAAGCAAAACTCAGTGCAGCACAGCAGTGAAGTCTCTTAAGGGTGACTCCTTTCCCACTTCTGTGAAATGAGAAGAATGAAGTAGACCCCCGACTTCTCATCAGCAACATTGAAGGCCAGATGATAATAGAAAAGCATTTTGAAAGCTCTCAAGAACTTAGAGTCTTTTACCCAGTTGTTCTTTGGGAGAGCGAAACAAAGACCACGTTGGACATGTCAGGCCTCAAAATCATCACCTACTGAATTAAATCTCTTAAAATATTTATTTATGTTGTATATTCCAACAAAACTAGCATAGAAACAAAGGAGAAAGAAACTGAAGAAATTTTTAAAAAGAAAGAAAAACTCATAGGTAAGTGCAAATAAAAGGCTTATGTACTTAAAAATATAATAATCAGCAAATAAATGTCTAAATGATCTTGACACAGGAGGTGACATGACGTGAGAGAAGGTGGATGGAGGGGAGAAATGAAAGAGTTAGAGGTCAGTTATTAAGAGAAGGATATGTCCCCTGATTTATTATCAACACTGGTAGAAAAATGCAAGCATAAATAGGCATGTTAAAAAGTGAAGAGTAGCCTGGGCAGGCGAAACCTCATCTCTACAATAAATCAAAAAATTAGCCGGGCGCGGTAGCGCGCGCCTGTAGTTCCAGCTACTTGGAAGGCTGAGGCGGAAGGATTGCCGGAGCCCAGCAGCTTGAGGCTGCAGTCGCCGGGAGCGGCCACTGCACTCCAGTCTGGGCGACAGAGTGAGACTCCAACGCAAAAAATAAATAAATAAATAAATAAAAGTGAAGAGTAAACAAGCAAAGAACAGAGCCACCAGAGGGAAAGGACAAAGCTTTTGAATTATGTGGGCAGTCGAAGAAGCACCTTGAACAGACAGAGGACAGAGCACTCTGATCCAAATTGGAGGAGGAATGCCCCTGAGGGCTTGTGCTGCTCCTTCCAGAACGCACCTAAATGGGGAACTTCCTTTTATATCTGAAGTTTCAACAAGGCCTCCATCAGAGCAATGGTCTGCCACAGAGCTGTCCAGGGTCCTGGACTCCTGGGCCTGAAGTCTTCTACTGTGTCTCAACTTCCTGTTTTTGCTGAAAGGCAGCTTTGGACTTCATCTGCCTCACCTGCCCTCCAGCTGTCCAGATCCATGTCCACAAGCCCTCAGGTATGTCCTATGTCCTTTTCCAGTGTCCCAGTGCTGAGCCTGACTCTGTCCAGGCCTCGTTCAGTTAGAACCCAACCTTCCTTTCTCCACTTTAAGCTGAGAATAAAGGAACAGAAGCCAGGCGTGGTGGCTCATGCCTGTAATCCCAGCACTTTGGGAGGCAGAGGTAAGAGGACTGCCTAAGCCCTGGGGGTTTGAGACCAGCCTGGGAAACTTGGCAAGACCTTGTCTCAACAATAAATAAAAAATAGTCCACTGGCTATAGTTCCAGCTACTTGGGAGGCTGAGGTGGACGCCTGTAGTTCCAGCTACTTGGGAGGCTGAGGTGGACGGATCACCTAAGCCTAGCAGATCGAGGCTGTGGTAGCTGTTTCTGTGCCACTGCACTCCAGCTTGGGTGACAGAATGATAATCCGACTCAAGAAAAAAAAAAAAAAGGAACAGAAGGCATGGGTTGGTTCTTGTCTGCTGAGAGGGAGAAAAATGAAGCTAAAGTCCCCAAGACTCCAATGTCCCCAAAGACTGGAAACCCCATTCTCCCCTTCTACCCTCCTTAGCCCAGCTAGTGCCCCCACCACTTCCAGAGACAGCTATCCCCCTCTACCAACCTACCGTGAAAAGCTCGGTAGGCAGAACCCACACAGGCTGAGTTGGCAGTATCTATGACATACACCGGGGCACCAAATACATCTGCAAGGACCTGGAGTGGACACAGAGGTTTTACTGTGGTGAATCCTTCCTCAGAGGGAACATGGACTTTTGAGGATACATTTTCCAAGCTCTCCTTCCTGTCTTCTGACCCCTCCATTCTGCCTCTGCTGCCTTAAAAGAAATATACTTGGCCATGCTGCCCGGTGATCACAGAGTGAGGATGACCTGGAGGAGATTCCTAGTGGAAAGCCACAGCTCCTCAGGCTGTCCTCATACTACTTTACCAAAAACAAGGCAGAAGATTTAGAAAGTATGCTTAGCAAATGGTACTGACCTAGAGCTGGGGACAGTTGGATATTAGACTAATAGTAACAAGCCCAAACATACCCTAACCAACAAGGGCATGTTTTATGGGGATAATGATGAAGTTTTACATTTAGGTCCAAAAAGTAAATTGCATAAATTTAGGATGGAGGACCTACACTAAGAGAAGTTCATATGGAAAAAACTTGGAGAGTCCTAGTTGACCAGAGATATTATAATAGATGCCATTGACTCCAGACCTAGATCCCCCCCACTGGGCCTGGGTTCACCCCTCCCCCAGCTGTTGCGAATATAGATAGCTAATGGCTCACAGCCCTCCCTCCTCAAGGGAAATGACATTGGCTGAACAGAGGTCGCCACTCACAGAAGATTATGCTCACCCCTTCCCAGGACAGCCAGTTGGCTCCCTTGTCCCAAGGTAGAACCAGCTCTGTGGTGTAGTTTATGCTCCAGAACTTCAGCCAAGACCATATCCTCACTTATCCTTCTTCCCCTGTCCTATCCTGAGTGCCTCACCTCCTTCCTCCCAGAAGCACTCTTTCAACATACCACTCTTAGAAGAATTCCCTTTTCAGGTTGTGCTTCTAGAGAATCTTACTTAAGACAGGTATATCACAAGTCAACAGCTGATGCAGTTACTCTAACATCTAAGGCAGCCTCAGGCTATACCTCAAAATGCAGTGTCCCCACAAGAGGACTTGATGAGGTGACCACCTGAGTGTCAGATAGCTGCAGGTTGATTCCATTTTTTTTTTTTTTTGAGTTGGAGTTCCACTCTGTCGCCCAGACTAGAGTGCAGTGGCCGCTCCCAGCCACCGCAGCCTCGACCTGCTGGGCTCCGGTGATCCTTCCACCTCAGCCTTCCGTGTAGCTGGAATTACAGGCGCGCGCTACCACGCCCGGCTAATTTTTTGATTTTATTGTAGAGATGAGGTCTTGCCTGCCCAGGCGGGTCTCAAACCCGCGGGCTCAGTCAATCCACTCACCTCAGCCTCCCAAAGGCGTGGGATTACAGGCTGAGCCACCAAGCCCGGCTTGATTCCATTTCTGATCATATGTTTCTAGCATAATGGAGGACCAGGATAGTGACAAAGTCGGACAACTGTGTTACAAGAGTATTGGTTGCGAAATGTAAGACAACAGAGCTGCTTCCTGGAGAGTGAGAGCTATGAGCTCCCCGTTCCTGTGGGAGTAGGAACAGAGGCAGACCTTTCTGCTGAGTCTCTGGCCTTAGATGTAACAGATGTGGATAGGTCACAGCGCAGGACCCACTATCCGCACTTACTTGTAAGATGTCTCTATTGTGAGATGCTCCTCCAGTGGCCAAAATCTTTGTCTTGGGCACTGCAAGGGGAAACAACAAAACAAAATAGCTGAGGCAATTCCTACAAAGCATAAAAGGCTGTTTAGTTCTTCAGTCACAGAGGGCTCGTGATGGGCCAATGACTCCCACATATCACACAGGATTGGGGGAAAGCCGTCTCTGTTCATGCAGCCCCGTCACACTTGTTAATAATTTTAAAAAAGAAATCTTTTATTTTGGAATGTCTATCAATAAGTTTTTTTTCTAAAAATATCTCATCAGACAAGTTTTGTCAACAAATATTTATATAAACATAATTTCATGACACGATTACAGGCACTTTTGACTGAAACATTCAAATAAATCTTTCCATTGGTTACTTGAAGTCAGGTAATAATAATCATAAATAAAAGCAATAATTCCATGTGAAAACAGAAAATGAGGAAGTGAGTGAACGTAGAATAGTTACTATATATAATATATGATGCTCTTTACAAGATCTTCAATTCATATAACAAGCATAATTCTATTTTTGTACTATAAAACTTTAAATTAGTTTTAAACAGACTAATAATATTGTGGCTATCCAAGAAGCAAAACAATGTGCTTTCTTCTCCTCATCATTATTCTCTTCCTCTCCGCTCCATAAAAAATAAAAAAAAAAATTATGGCTGGGCTTGGTGGCTTAGCCTGTAATCCCAGCACTTTGGGAGGCCAAGGCAAGTGGAGTGCTGGAGCCTGCGGGTTCAAGACCAGCCTGGGCAACTTGGCAAGATCTTATCTCTACAATAAACACAAAATTAGATGGGCATGGTAGTGCACGCCTATAGTTCTGGCTACTTGGAAGGCTGAGGCGGACGGATCGCTGGAGCCCAGCAGGTTGATGCGGGGGTGGCTGTGAGCATGCCACTGCACTCCATCCTAGGAGGCAGAGTGAGACTCACACTAAAAAAAAAAAAAAAAAAAATTTATAATAATTTTCTTCATAAGTCAGGAATAGAAGAGAATTTCCTTAAGTTGATGAAGGCCATATATCCAAAACTTTCAACAGACATGATTTTTTTTTTCTTTTTTTGAGTCGAGGTCTCACTCTGTTGCCCAGACAGGAGTCAATAGCATGATCATGGCTCACCGCAGCCTTGAACTCCTGGGCTCAGGCAATCCTCTGCCTAAGCCTCCCAAATAGCTGGGGCTACAGGTGCACACCATCATGCCTGGCTATTTTTTTTTATTTTTTGTAGAGATGAGGTGTCACTATGTTGTTCTGGGCCGGTTTCAAACTCCTGGGCCCAAGCTATCCTCCTGTATCGGCCTCCCAAAATATGGGATTACAAGCATGAGCCATTATGACCAGCAGAATTCCATATACTATAAAAGGACTATTTGAGCATGAAGGCAAAATAAAAATATTTTCAGAGTCAGAGGCCATTCTCCCACATACTCTCATCTCTACATGAAAGAATTAGCCAATGATGTACTAAAGCAAAGACAAAATCAAGTCCAAAAAAAGTGGTGATCACAGACACCAGCAAAATGTATATTTAACATAATTCTTGATGTATAATGCACACAAATTAGTAACAATCTGCAGCTGGAGAAAAAAGGATGAAGAAAGGAGAGAAGAAGGGGAAAACGATGTTTTCCTCTAGTGGACAATGTAATTAATGAAGAGAATATAAATTTTAAATGTTGATAAAAAGCTATAAATTTTAATATCTAAGTTTAAAATGTTAGGGTAGTTATTAAAAGGAAAGTAGAGCCTTCAGACTCACGCATCAACAACGGAAGTGACTTCAGAGGCCAGGAGGACAGCTGACTAAGGAGACGGGGCCACTGCATGACAATACAGGGAAATGACACACACCTGAGTGAGAAGGCCCTATGTAAAGGTATTTGACTTATTAAAAATTAAATATTATGCTAGCCAAACATAGTAAGTTCTAGAAATAGAATCTGTACTCTGGTTATCAGTTTACTACCATGCCCGTTAAGAAAAAGAAAAATGAAAGGGATTGGCAGTAGTGGGAAACTGTCAGGGGAGGTGACAGGGGATTGACAGTTGAGGGAAACTGCTAGGGGAGGGAGGAGTATACCTCATCAACAAGGGTACCTGCATAATCAGCGTTTGTATACCAAACCCTGAATTGTGCACCACATCTTTATAATTTAAAAAAAGGGGCAAATAAATAATATAACATAAAAAAGAAAAATGAAATACAGAAAAATTAGCCAAAGACATTTACAAGATTGTTCATAGCAGCATTGTTTATAATACTGAACTGGAAAGAGCCAAATGTATTTCAAAAAAGAATGGTGTCTTAGTCTGTGATGTGCTACTATAACGACTACCACAAATTAGCTAATGTATAAAAAACAAAAATTTATTTCTCACAGTTCTGGAGGATGGCAAAGTCCAAGAACAGGATGCCATCTGGTTAGGGTCCAGCCTCTCTGCTTCCAATGCTATGTTCTTATATGGAAGATGAGCAGAAAACAGCAAACTCACCTCTGAAAGCCTTTTTTATAGTGGCATTAATACTTTCACAAGGGCTCTGCCTTCATGACCTAACCTCTTCCCAGTAGGCTCACCTCCAAACACTGTTGCATTGGAGATTATGTTTCCAACATGAAATTTGGGGGACCATAGCAAATGGAAAAATATATTGTGGTATAATCAAATGATGAAATATTATGTTGCAATAAAAATTAACAACCTATAACCATGTAAGTTAACACGAATGAGTTCATAAACATGACATTAAGTCAAAGAAGCAAGTCACAACATGATGGTATAATTGCATAGATTATGAAGTTCAGAAGGGGCCAAACAAAACAGTGTTAAGTCCCAGCCTGGGCAACATAGTGAGACCTTGTATCTCCAAAAAAATCAGAAAATTGGTCAGGTGTGGTGGCATGCACCTGTGGTTCCAGCTATTTGGGAGGCTAAGGCAGCAGAATCACTTGGAGCCTAGGAGTTGGAGGTTGCAGCGAACCATGACTGTGCCACTGCACTGCAGCCTGGGTGACAGAGTAAGACATCGATTCAAAAAAGAAAAAAAAAACAGTGTAAATTTAGAGATGCATACATAGTTAGCAAAACCATAAGGAACACAAGAGAAATTATAGTAACAAATTGGATAGAACTTATCTTCATGGGATCGGAGGAAGATGAGGATACAATTGAAGAAGAACATTTAAAGTTCTATGGTTAAATGCTTTATGGCTTAACCAGAGTGCTGACAATCAGGTGTCTCATTTATTAACATATTTTATAATTAGCTATAAGACCCATATACACTAATGTATATATATTGTTTTGCCATTAAAAAATTGGCCAGGTGTGGTGGTATATGCCTGTAATTCTAGCACTTTGGGGGACTGCTTGAGCACAGGAGTTCAAGACCAGCCTGAGCAGAAATAGCTAGACCCTGTTCCTACCACAAAAAAAAAAAAAAAAAGCCAGGCATGGTGGTATCCACCTGTAGTCCCAGCTACCTGGGAAATTGAGGTGGAAGGATTGCCTGAGCCCAGAGGTGGAGGCTGCAGTGAGCTGTGATCATACCACTGCACCCTAGCCTGGGCAACAGAGTGAAACCCTGACTCAAAAAACAAAAAAAATATTACAACAGTATTGAAACTGATCTTTACCAGAAAGCCAAGGCTGGGCTGCTATCTGGCTAAAGTCCTACCCAGCCCCAGGAGAAGGGAGAACTTCCCGGGAGCTCTAATATCTGCAAACAAAGCAAGCCTTCTGTCCGACTACACACAGGTGCAGACAGACAGCCAGGTCTAGGGTGGTGCCAGCTGAATGCAAGGGCAGAGTCAGCTCTCTCTGTGTGCCCATGCATGGTGCCAGGAGGCCCTCAACACTGCTACAGAGGTGTGTCAGAGCACAGAGGAGCTGAGCTCAGCTCTCCAAGGGACCAAGCCCTGGAGAGGCACCCACAACCAACATGCTCAAACGTCCCTAACACAAGAGCTATATTTCAATCAAAGTTTACAGTTTCATTGCATCCAGTTTCAGCAGGGCTGAGGTGAAAACAGCACAGGCAGGATGTCAACCGGCAAATCAGTTTGGACAGCAATTTGTCTACACTCATAACTCAGCATTATTGCTTTCACCATCCGGCCTTCCAGAAAAATTCGGACATGTGCACAAGGATTACATACAGGAATGTGCACTACAGTGCTTGGTGAAGCAAAAGACAAAACAACACAAAACAAACCAGGGAACAATCTTAATGTTCTTCAACTGGGACTGTAAAGTAATTTAGCAGACCTCATACTACAGAGTCTGAAAAACAAAAAGGTAGACCTGTGTGTACTTTTATGGAAAGCAAGTCTCAGGATAACACATACAGCATTAGTAGCATTTCTGTTAAAACTGTACATACATTTATGCACCCATATATATCAGGGTGAACCATATAAAATTGTCATTTTTGAAAATCAGAATTTCTAAATATTGGCAATTCCATATGGTTCAATCTAACATATAGTCACAGGAAAAATGCATTGTGGTGTATTCATACAACAGGGTGTACTACACAGAAAAGAAAATGAGTCGGCCTCAACTGCACACAACAAAATGAACGAATCTCACAGATGCAACGCTGGGCAAGAGAAGCCAAACACAAGCCTATATACAGCAGGATTCCACATATGTCAAATTCAAAACCAGACAAAACTATTTTTAAATTTTTATTTATTATTATTACCATCATCATCATTACAATTATTTGAGTCTGGGTCTCACCCTGTCACCCAGGCTGGAGTACAGTGGCACAATCGTAGCTCACCACAGCCTTGACCTCTTGGGCTCAGAGTGATCCTTCCGCCTTAGCCTCCTGAGTAGCTGGGACTATAGGCATGTACCATCATGACCCACTAATTTTTTTTTTTTATAGAGATAAAGTCTCACTATGTTGCCCAGGCTGGTCTCAAACTCCTGGGTTCAAGTGATCCTCCTGCTTCGACCTTGGAAGCAGGATTGCTGGGATTGACAGGACTGGAAAACAGTCTAGGAGGAAGGAAGTGAGTCTGGTAAGCATATGAAGGGAAGCATTTGCTTTTTATCTCATATTTCTGTTCTGCATGAATCTTTTATGACAAAAAGACATCCATTTGATTATGTATTTTAAAACAAACACATGTTTAAAGATCCTGCTGTTTTCCTGTCAGCCCTTTGGCTGTGTCCAGGAGAGGACATTCAGCTACCAGTTCTCAGCTTCCCCCATCTTCGCTCTTGGGCATGGACAAAGTGTCTGGAAAGGGGGAAAGAATGCCAGCCTTCTGGGGAAACAATGCAAGCTATGGGACGTTGTTCTAGGACGATTCCATGTTGGAAAACCAAAAACACCCTCAATGCCCGATTGCAGGAAAAGTACCTGGCCACAATGTGCAGCGCGGGAAGAAGGGTTTTGACAAACTCTGGGGCTTGTATGTACCCTCTGCATGTACAAAGGAAACAGGATTGTGGTTATATGAAAATCAGTTCATAAAGGAGACTGGGAGAAAATGTCCCCAAACAGTACAAGTGGTTGGAGAGAGGGGAAGGAATTCTAAGTTTTTTTCTTTTCTTTATTTTCCGAGCTTGCAATTACTAAGTTTGATTGCTTTTACAATCAACCTAAACAAAATGAAATACAGACATATAAGCCAAAAAGAAATCATGGCTTATCAGCAATGTCCAGCTAGGTGCATCTATCTGATGGTGTCTATAAACATCAAGAGAGTGCTCATTTCTTAAACAAAGCAGGCTTGGCCCAGTGACCAAGAATTGAGTCTGGAGCCAGATTGGCTTGGTTCAGATGCCAGCTCTGCCAGTCTTGACCAGGTTACTTACCCACCTCAAGACTGAGTTTCCTACTTTGGGAAGTGAGAGCAATGCCAGCACCTACCTCAGGGCAGGTGCTGCTAGTAAGGATGAAGTGCTGAGGGACCAGACCAGGCACAATCAGTGACCCCAAAATGCTAGTAGCTGTTAGTATCGTGATCTTCATTCTTACTCAAAGTGCCTCTTTATTCTTCTTAGATACCAGTAAAAACATATGAGATGGAGACTGACCAAGAGTGAAAATTCAAGCTGGCCAGTGCAAATGGCAGACTGAAGAATGATGCCTCATGTGTGTGCAACTCTTTCTGGTTCTGAATACATTCATTTAGACGATCACTCAGCACAGCCAGCAAGACAGGGTTGATTCTGCACTTAAGCTTGCTAAGAGGATAAGTAACTCTATGCTGTTTTGCGCAAGAAACTCTTTAGAGGCTGGGGATAATGCCACAATCCAATCCCATAATCCCCTTCTAGCTGGTGCAGCCCTTCTACCCTGGCTGTCTTTCCGTGCACCCTGGGCTGTTCACCTCCTGAGAGCCCCCTCCCGACAGCCAGAGGATCCCTGCCAGGCACTCAGTGCCAGCTTCAGGACCATTTCTGTCCTGCTCACCCAGCCTCATGTCTCAGGGAACTTTGAAGTCTCTGAAGACCTTGAGAAACTTCTTTTTATACTTAGGATGGTGGGATGAGGGGAACAGGAATGCTCACAGTGCTCATTTTATTTATTTAAAAATTTGTACTGACCTGGAACATATGTCCTGAAAAATATACACACCATAAGCCTATTAAGCTTGGTAAACTTTCACAGACTAAACACCCCCATGTAACATGAAACAGAACATCGTCAGCACCCCAGAGGCCCTCTCATGCCCCTTCTGAATAGCAACTACTAATTATCCTGATTTCCAACAGTAGCAAATAGTTTTGTCTGGTTTTGAATTTGACATACGTGGAACCCTGCCGTATGAAGGCTTGTGTTTGGCTTCTCTTGCCCAGCGTTACATTTGTGAGCTTCACCCATTTTGTTGTGTACAGTTGAGGCTGGCTCATTTTCTTTTCTGTGTAATACATCCTGTTGTATGAATACACCACAATGCATTTTTCCTGTCTATTACGAAAGGTCACTGGATTGCTTCCATTGTGGGGCTGTTAAGCACAGTTCCACAACGAATATTCTCATGTACATCTTTAGTGGAACACATATACAAATTCCTGTTGAGCATTTACTTAGAAGTGAGATTGCTGGGCAGGTGTATAGTCAGCTTTAGTAGATGCTAACAGGTTTCCCAAGAGGTTTACATTTACCCCTTTTATTTGGTTAGTTCAAAGTCATAAAATATATAGCACATAGAACTTGCATTGTCCATAAAAGTATCAGAAGAAGGGCCTCAAGCAATGCAGCTTCAGAGGAATTTTTCACTTTCTCTAGTGGCAACAGGTGCTACCCAGAAGGACAAATACATCTCAGAAACCTGAACTCTTCTTCTGCCTCTCTGCAGAACCCCAATCCATTCCATCATCATTACAGGGAATGCACAGCTCAAGCCCTCGGAAACCCATTCTCCTCCTTTTTCCTCCTCCAGGCCCTAGGTCTGCTCTCTCCATGTCAGTTGCTATGATTCAAATATTCATCTCTTCCAAAACGCATGTTGAAACTGAATCCCAATGTGATAGCACTGAGAGGTGGGACCTTTCGGAGGTTATTAGGTCATGAGGGCCCTGCCCTCATGAATGGATTAATCCATTCATGGATTAATGAGTTAATGGATTAAGAGGTTATCTTGGGAGTGGGACAGATGGCTTTATAAGAAAAGGAAGAGAGACCTGAACTAGCACACTCAGCCCCCTTGCCATGTGATATCCTGCGTGACCTCTGGACTCTGCAGAGTCCCCACCAGTAAGAAGGCCATAACCAGATATGGCCCATCAACACTGAACTTCTCAGTCTCTACAACTAAGAGAAATACATTCTTTTTCCTTATAAATTACCCAGGTTTAGGTATTCTGTTTTAAGCAACCCAAAATGGACTAAGACACTAGTCTTCTGAGCTTTGACAGTGCTACTACATTCTCACTTTTACCTGGCCAAGCTGAAAGGCCAGGCTAGGAGGCCAAGGTCAAGTCATGGTCCTAGAGCTCAGGACATTTCGGCTGCAGCTTGGAGTTTAGGGTTACAGAAAGACCTCTCCCAATCCTACACTTTCTGGCCAAGAGGTCAGGCTACTGGGGACACAGCTGAGAAGTGGGAACAACCTGCCTCCTATCCTCAGTCTCCTGTCCACAAGTGCCAGTTGATTCACCTTCTCTGGGGCCAGGCTGCATCTTCCTCCAGCACCAGGCCCCTGCAGGAAAGCCTTAACACATGCTGCCACTAGCCCTGGCCCCAGGGTGTGAGCTAGGCCCTGAGTCCCACCCCACCCCACCACACATGCTGCTGGCAGCTCACTTACTAACTCGATAGCCCAGGGCTTCTGCATGAATCCTCTTGGCCATGAACTGTCCCTCGATCAGTGCTCGAATCTCCACATCCTTGGGGAATGCTGAGACCTGCCTCCAAGAAAAGATGGGCACAGAGTGAGAAACTCTCATTGTCTAGTCATGTGTGTGTGTGTGTGTGTGTGTGTGTGTGTGTGTGTGTGTGTGTGTGTTATGTGTATCTTTTTAAACAACAGCCCACATTTGGGACCCACAGCTGGGCTCTTTAACCACTAACTTTGCCTGTCACACACACACACAACTCACACCACACAAGCTCACAGCCCCACATGTGTATCACTTTGAGGAGTCAGAGGAATCACAGAGCTCAGTCCCAGACAGCCAAGTGTTCAAATTCTGACTCTGCCATTCAGTTCAGTAACCCTGGATTAAGTTACATAAACCTTGCTGAGTGTCTTTTCTTTCTTAACAAAACCAAGGTAATAGAGGCACCTGTTTTTTAGGGTTGTCATAATGATTAAATTAGACAACAGGGCCTAGAATACATAGTTGATACTTAGTAAGCCATGAGCTTATGCTGAGAGCCCCCCATCATGGAGTGTCCTTCAAGCCAGCACTGATGGGCATCAACCTCAGGCTTGCCCCTGCTTCTTAGCACCGAGACGGATGCTAGAACCTGCCACTATCTCCCTCACGAACTGCTCCGCTCTAAACTTACTGACCTTCTTCCAGGTTCCAATCTGTTCCCTCTGCCTGGAAGTCTGCCCCACTCCTTCCATGATGAGATTCTTTTAGTCTTTTCAGGTCTCAGCCTAAAGGCCACCTTCTCAGAGAGGTCCATGGCCAATCACCTCACCTAGGGCAAGTCCCTAGCCACTCACAGCTTCTCTTGTGGCACCCTGTTCTTTCCCTTCCCAGCCATATCACTCATGCACACACAGTAATCACCCATGTATTCATTCACTTGTTTACTGTCCATCTCCCTCCTAGACAGTAGGTTCTGTAGAGCAAGGACCATGTTTGTCCTGTTCTCCTTTGTGACCCCAATGCCTGGCACCAATCATACATATCTGCTGACTGAGTGATTAAATGAAGAATACTACCTTCCCCTTGATAAATCTAGGACTGATTTGCATAAAAGAGAAGAGGCATATCTTCTATCTCTGAATAACAGAAACCAAATTGACCTCAGATAGCTGAAATGAACTCCCTATACTTTATACAAAAGCTTTCCATTCACAATCCAACATACAGTGCCATCGTTCTCCATTAAGTCCAATGCCAGCTCTGCCTGTGACAGTTGCTAGAGCGTCTTACAGAAACTCCCAGACATTTCCTCAGGTCATAAACCTCTCTCAGAGAGGTCATAAACCTCTCTCAGGTCCAACCCAAAATGTGGTAATGACTCTCTGGTGACTAATTAACAGCAATATCAATTCCAAGAGTCAACTAAATCCTTCCTGGGAGAGATCACATGGTAGAGGAGAAAGAAAACACCAGCTTCAGAGCCAGAGAGGTCCAGGTTTGAACCCCCTTCACCATCTATGACCTTGTGACTCTGGGAAGGTTATTTAGCTTGAGTCTCTATGCCTCAATTTCTCCATATGGAAAGATGGATAATAATGCCTGCTTCACAGAATTGCTTTGAGAAGTAAATGAGGAAGGTAAAGAAAACCATGAATGATGATGTCTGGCACCAAACAGTGCTCAGTAAATGTTAGTGCCTCCCTGTCCTCAAGGTTTTTTCATCAAGGGGAAATTCATGGTCTCATGATCTGTGAGTTCTTTAAGTATACGATAAAGCTCGCCAAGGAAATAAGCTCTGTGACACTCAGTGACAGTCAGTGTTAGCAAACATTAGCTTGGAAGAGAACTCTCCAGTTCTTTGAACCTTCCTTGTAGGGAAAGACAGTGTCTATCTTTGGTACTGCAGATTCCCCAGCATTAAACGTATTTATTATATCAATGGATGCGCAGATGAACGAAGTCCCTAAAAGTAGCATAATTTGATAGGCAACTGTCAAATTTAATCACAAGTAGAGCCAATGTTGCCCCAATACCAATCAATAACCCACGTACCTCATGGTTTTCTGCATTAAACCTATGGCGCCCAATAATTTCAGGGGTAATCTCCATTACATCAAAGTAAAAACCTGAAATAAAACAAGGAAGAGATTAGACCCCCCCCAAAAAAAGGCTTCTCAACAGACTTAGAAGAATAGGGTGAAATGACCCATTACCTCTGTGCCCTTAGTCTGCCCCTCTGCCCCCAGATGAGATCTGTGATTATTCTCAGTTCCTTCTCTCCAACAGGACAGAAGGATACCAGAGAAGCTTAGGGCAGCTTTTCTTAGAGAAAACCCTTCCTACTTTCACTTGACAGCTCAGTGATGGAAGGGGCTGCCCAACAAACTCTAAAATACCGATGCAGGTTTGAGCAAAGGAAGTCTATCTCCTCCCTGCTCAGAAGGCCTGCTCAGACACCAGGTACTTTTTCCGACAGAACCTTGTGTCTATAGGAGAGAGTATGGGGATGCACCAGGGTAGAGGCTGCCATCTCTGATGCTGTCACCAGGAGCTTTGAGAGAACAGAAGATGCAGCTACGGTCTGATCTTCCACTCTGTAGGAGGAGCAGCAGCTGAGAACAGCCTCACTGCCACACCCTCACTCAAAACACGGGGTCCCACACCAGCTTGTAAAGTCTGTGGAATAGAAGTGTAGACAGACAGGACTCCCCTGGACTTCTCCATGGCCCTCCTCTCCCCCAATTCATGGGGCCCCAGACCCCATCCCTCCAGCAAGCAGCTGCTGCCCCCTCACAAACCTGGCATCACTAACCAGCCTACCCAGGTTTCCGCCATTCCCCATCTCAGTGGACTGCAGTGCCTTGGAGAACTCGCTCCAGGAATGGGAAGCAGACTCATCACGGATCTTCTCTCTCGTGAGGGAGCCATTTTTAAAGCTGCAGAAGTGCAAACAACTCTGAGCGGGGCAGCCAGTGCTTGTTGACTGGACTCAAGATTTTGGGTGATGAATCCCAAGCAGAGGGACTGCAGGTCAGGCAGGACCACAACCCCTATGCAGTACACAGCAGGCACCTGGAACCTCAGCTACCTGAGGCTGTGCCTCAGATTCCAGGCCTCATGCACATCCCCAGGAGGCACCGAAAATTCCCACATCTTGGAGTGTTTATACAAGAGGCTGCCATACAGGAGCCCCAGGCAGAAACAGGGAGTTGAGGTTTCTGTACATTCTATCACTTGAACAACAGGGCAAGGCTGGCTGGATTTATTAGACCTACATATTCTCCATGGTTCTTGGGGCTTAGCAGCTCAGAAACCTGCCTCAGTAGCTTTATACAGGTCTCCAAAGGCCTGGAGTCAGAGTACAGACACAGCCCTTCAGTGAGAACCACAGGAACCAGGATGCCCTTTCCATTATTTGTTGAGGGTCTATCACATGCCAGACAGGTCACAACGACAGTATGAAGTAAACACTTTTATTCTCCCTGTCTTATGAGGAAAGTGTGGTTCAGACATGCTATGGGGTTTGTCCAAGGCCACACAGGATATTAAGATTTGAACCTAGGTTTGGGGGACTCCAGGTCATGTGTTCCTCCCCACCCAGCTCTGCTGTCAACAAGACCCTGAGGTCTCAGCTGCCCACCCAAGCTTGCTAAGTGGAATGACTTGGGGTACTCACGAAGGTGCCAGACCTGCCTGTACCTCCTTCCTACCCACCCAGGGGATGGTGCTGGCCAACACTCAGGCTCACCACAGGAGTGCCATGTAGTGCTGGGAGTCAACTGGGTTGCAGAAGATGTGGCCTTCCAGGGCAGGCATAGGCTCCTGGAGCCAGAGAAATAGGGTATCGCTGGTACCCAGGCTGACCTGGGGAGAGACAAGCAGAGGTGAGGTGCCCTGAGCTCTGCGCACACACGCTTCCCTCTGCCAGCAACGTACTCACCCTGACCCCCTTCAATTCTCTTGCTGCAGACCTCACATGAAACACCACTTCCTCAGAGAAACCCCTTCTGATCTTCCCACATTAGATTAATCAAAAGTCAGTTCCACAGATACATGATCTTACAGACCATCTGTGCTGACTTTCCAGAACTTATCACCACTGCGTCTAACTAATGGTTGGAGTGATGACAGGCTCCCCAAATGAGTTCTCCACTAGAAGCAGAAAGGTCTGGATTATGGTTTTCTTATTCATTGGGGGCACTCACAGCCCTGTGGCCCCACATCTGACCCTCTGCCACCAAGCCCATCAAGACTGGCCACTGTCAAGATGGGCAGGGGTCCTGCCTTCTCAGCAAAAAGCAATGGCATTCGAAAGAAAAAGGTGTGAGCCACCCCACCCCATCCCTGGCTGCCTTTTGGGACCAGTGGACCCTCTGATAGGTAGCAAAGTTGCTGCTGAGAGCCAGATCCTGGTCCCTCAAGGTAGAAAGAGCCTGTGGGTATGCGAAGCCACCTTACCGCAATGTCACCTTCCTCCAGTCTCATGCCTGCCAGTGATGCTGAGAATGGGAGGGGAGCCTCTGGTTAGCTGGAGGCCACATGGGAACCACAAAGCAAACCACAGGGCCCCCCAGGGAGGAGCACAGCACCCACCTCCCAGTCCAACTCACACCCTAGGGTAGAAGCAGGAGGGGGTGAGCAGAGGGCTCAGAAGACCCTTAGAAAAAAAGGTCACAGGGGTCAGGGGGTGGAGTCTCTGTGGAAAGGACCTCTGATGTGGGCTATGAAGTCTCTTCCCTGGAGGAGTCCACTCTCCCCACCACTGTCAGGCACTCCTAGGAGGACAGAGAACCAAGGAGGCCAGAATAAGAACCAAGGACACACATGGCAGAGAAAGATGAAGGCAGTGTGGAAAAGAAGGAGCCAAGGTTATATTCACTGTCTAGACCCTGCTTCAGACATGAGGCCCTCAACAGAGGTCTTTTTTTTTTTTTTTTTTTTTGAGTTGGAGTCTCACTCTGTCGCCCAGACTGGAGTGGAGTGGCCACTTCCAGCCACTGCAGCCTCGACCTGCTGGGCTCCAGAGATCCTTCCACCTCAGCCTTCTGAGTAGCTGGAATTACAGGCATATGCTATGCCCGGTTGACTTTTTAAAAATTTTATTGTAGAGATGAGGTCTCGCCAAGTTGCCCAGGTGAGTCTCGAACCCGCAGGATCAGGCAATCCACTCACCTCAGCTTCCCAAAGCGTGGGATTACAGGCTGAGCCACCGAGCCTGGCTTCAACAGAGGTCTTTATCTGCCTTGTTTGCTGAAGTGTCACAGTGCTAAAAGAAGGCCTGGCACATAGTACACGCTCGCTAAGTGTCAAGTGAATGAACATACGAGTGAAGGAGAAATGGGGGTGAGGAATAGGCGCACTCAAACACTGCCAGTGAGGTTCAATCAGAAGTATGTGTCAGAAGCCTTGGATCCAGGAATCCCTCCTGAGAACTTATCCTCTGAGAACAAAAGTACAAGACAGAACGTGCATCTCAACATTGTCTGCATTGACTGAACCTGAGGCAACGTCAACCTCCATCCATAGGGAAATAAATGCTAGGACAACTGAATTCTAGACAACTGTTAAAACGAGGCTGCAGAAAAATACTGCCAGACTGATGAAAAGAAGCCTGCTTGCTTAAGAGCACAGAAAGACCGAAAGGACAGACACCACAATTTTAACCCCAAATTTGGTGGCTCGTTAGGAAAAAGATTACTTTTCTAAGGTGGGGCTAAGGGGCAGTAGTGAGGGTTCTACTCAGTGTGGCCCACCTGGCCTTTCTTCAGAGACTTGAGAGCCCCTCCAGGAGTGGCTTCAGGAACCCCTAGAGGAGAAGAGGAGGAAGAGGAAGAGGAGGAAGAGGAGAGAAGAGGAGAGGAGGAGAAAGAGGACAGGGGAAGGGAGAGGAGAGGAGGAGAGGCCAGGGGAAGAGACAAGGCGTCTGGGTGAGAAATAAGTCATAGCTTCAGATCAAATGACAGGGCAGAGACTCAAAACCATGTCCTAGAGGAAGGGTTGGAGGAACTTGAGATGCTTTGCTTGGAACAGAAAAGACAGAGTGGGGGGTAGGGTAGGCAGGGCTGCCTTCTTTAATCACTGATCAGCTTTCACTGGAGGGAGCAGACTGACCAGCTGAGTGGCTCCCAAGGGCTGAGGTGGGGCAGGTACAGGGAGACAGATTTCTGGACTGGGTGGGAGCAGGGGACAAGAGCACCAGAGAAGGATATCACTGAGAGGCTGGACTGGAATTCTCAAATGTCCTGCATGGATCCACTCAGTCTACTGGAGAGTGAAACTTCCCAGGTACTCACCTGGGTTGTCCCCAGTGAAGGCCACCACTTTGCACCCTGGAGGAAATCCATAGCGCTGGACATAATAGGAAGAAATGGCTCCCTGAAGAGAAAAACAAGAGCAGTTGCTGAGGTAAATCCCTCCTGCCCAGCACAGCCTTCACCCCTCAGGCCACGAGAACGCCACAAGCTACAGGTCACTGGAGCTGAAGGAATCTCTTGCGGCTCCTGGAGTCACATCCCTCCCTGTCTCAAACCAGACATGTCCCTCCTAATCACAGATCCCCAGAGGAACCCAGCATAGGTTTGGACCCATAAGCAGGAGGGCACCACAAAAACCACTAATCTTGAGATTTAAGACAGCTGAAACAAACCAATTCCCAATCTGCATCTGCTTTGTAAGCTCCAAATTCAAGACACAGTCTTGGTCTAGGCTGCTTCAGAAAACAAAGCTTGTGCCTGGCACAGTGGCTCACACTTACAATCCCAGCACTTTGGGAGGCCGAGGTAGGATTGTTTGAGCCCAGGAGTTAGAGAAAAGTCTAGACAACATAGTGAGACCTTGTCTCTACAAAAAAGAAAAGAAAAGAAATTAGCTGGGCATGGTGGCATGAGCCTGTAGTCCTAGCTCCTCAGAAGCTGAGGTAGAAGGATGGCCTGAGCCCACAGGTTGAAGCTGTGGTGAGTCATGATCACACCACTGCACTCCAGCCTGGGCAACAACAATACTCCAACTCAAAAGAGAGGACAGTTCAGGACAGGACAGGAGACAAGAGGAGAGGAGAGGAGAGGAGAGGAAGAGAAAGGAAGAGAAAAGAAAGAAAACAGAACTTGAAATAGAGTTTTTATGCATGGGGTGTATTGGTATTTGGGGACATGATCCCAGGAGACAGGAGGAGAACCCGGAAAAGTGAGCAGGGAAGGAGGACAAGCCAACCCAAGGCTGCAATGCCAGACTGGCCAATACACCAGGGATGGAGGGGTGGGGAACGACCAGGACGACTACTCTGAGGAGTTGTGACTGGACCTGGAACTGTCCACCTGGGGCCAGGAGAGAGAGCGGTTAGCCATTCACAGCCTCCCTCTATACACTAGGGAAGGGTGTCCTATGGACTGTGAGCGTCCTGTATTTCTGTATTTGCAGAGCACAAAAATGAAGTAAAAGAACCTCTGAGCTGGGCTCGGTGGCTCAGCCTATAATCCCGCACTTTGGGAGGCCGAGGTGAGTGGATTGCCTGAGCCCGCAGGTTCGACACCTGCCTGGACAACTTGGCAAGACCTCATCTCTACAATAAATCAAAAAATTAGCCGGGCGTGGTAGTGCGCGCCTGTAATTCCAGCTACTTGGAAGGCTGAGGCAGAAGGATCGCCGGAGCCCAGCAGGTTGAGGCTGCGGTGACTGGGAGCGGGCCACTGCACTCCAGTCTGGGCGACAGAGTGAGACTTCAACTCACAAAAAAAAAAAGAACCTCTGAAGCAGAAAGTGAGAGAGACTCAGCTCAAGCAGGGTATTGCTGGGTGACACCCTCAGGAAGCCACAACGACTGGTGTAAAAGGTGGGCTGGAAAGATGCCAGGCAGAGCTCAAGAAGGGCCCAATACATCTCCAAATATTTTCCTGTAGAAAATGAGAGGAGGCTATCTGGGCACTACCTTCAAAGAGAGAGATGATGCAAAATAAGGATCTTGCTGGATTCCCCATCACATGACACCTATCTGACAAATTTAAGTGCCTTTTTCAGAATCAGCTCTTTCCTGCTCCTCAAACTGCTAGATTGCACAGGCTCCTTCCTGGAGGCATGATCTTGGTGTAAGGCAAAGCCTGCTGCCACAGACAAGGCGTTCCTCTTAATTTCACACCAATCTAAAGTCACACCTGCAACACCCCTCTACTCTTCCTCCTCTTTCTTCTTCCAAGTCCTGGTGGCTTGGCTGTTTTGGTTGTCCCTTCTCTTTTGTCTGGCCTGCCTCAGTCTGTTGGGTCTTGCACCATCAACTTCCAGGAACAGGATGGCTCTTCCTTCAGCACCGAGCACTGGCCTCCTGACACACTTTGGATAATGATGCTTTGGCACTGATGTTCTGCTTCATGATGACAAAAGCTGTTTTCAGTGTGTCAGCCTGAATCTTATAAGAAAAGCGCTTTTGTGGCTGAGAGTCCCAATGGGGATACTCATGACAGCTTCTTCCTCCTCGTGGCCCAAACCTCTCAGCTCAGGCCTCAGGGTCCCTTTGTTCTCCTTCACACCAACACTGTTCCACACAGAGTTCTTTCCAGTTGTTCTGGCTGTGTGGCATGCGCTTCCTATACCCAAGGGCAGGGCCCAGGTCCCTCTCTACTCCATCGTCCCCATAGGACAGCCAAGAACAGGGACAGCCAACCAGGACACACCAGAGCATTCACAGTCAGTGTCCGTTCCAAATAGATGGTGTCATCTTGATGGCCAAATGTTTTTGATATTACCAATGGGACCAGACACTATCTGAAGTACTTTAAACACATTAACTCATCTAATTTGCATAATAGCCCTGTAAAGTACATAGTATTATTCCCTTTGTTCCAGATGAAGAAACTGAGACAGTTTAAAGTCACAGAGCCAACTAGTGGTAGAATATGGATTTGTTCCTGGCAGCCTGGTGCCAGGGCCTGCACTCTACCAGGCTCCCTGCTATTTCTTTCTATTTTTCCCAAAATGGTCTGTTTCAAGTTTCATCAGTGGCCCTCAGTCCTAGAATGTCAGCATTCTGGGCATTTTTTTCCATAGGTTTGCAATCATGTTCCATTTTTCCCCCCATTCTAGTAAATTTCTAGTAGAATTTTCCAAAGTCCCCCCATCACAAGGCAGTAACCTATACATGCATCTGAGTACCTACTATGTGCAAAGCACTGATCTAGACATCTCAATTTGACTTCTGTCAAACATTTGTCTTAGGCTAAAATGAAAACCTGGGCATGCCTGTGAGTGAATAAACAAATGAATGAATAGATGAATGAAGGGTAGGGGGAGAGAGAGACAGAGAGAGAGAGAGAGAAAACAAACTGTAGTGCCCCACAGCTGTCAGCTCTTAAATGAGCCACATCACTGGAAATGGGACCTACCACAACTGAGCATGATGGGACTGGAAGGCCAAGCTTCTCCTCCAAATGAGGGGCACAGGCAACAAGGCAAGCCTGGGACCAGACTTTGTCCTGTATCTGCAGCAAATTCATTCCAGAACCTGAGGAAGGAAGGAAACAAAACCCAGAAAAGGAACCTTTTGTGGAAATTCACAAATCTGACAAAGAGATAATTCTCTTGCAGCAAACTTGTACCTGGAGCTCTTTCTTCATGGAATGTATGCAAAATGCTTGCATCATGCTGGACCCAGACAACCAGAGGCCAGCAGGGCCCCTAGGAACACATGGTACTACCACCTTATCCAAATATTCCTCACCAAACACCACAGTTAGCTTAGAAGTCTGCTGCTTTAGGACATGCCCGGGGACCAGGAACTACCAGCCACATGTGTCCTCCTCCGGAATGCCCACTGAAGTAGCTGTATGACTTTCTGCAGCTGTGCTCAGTAGCCCTGGGACAGGTGTGGGGAACACAGGTGGACATGCAGGCTACTCCAAGTTTACTGTCCTGCTGTCTGAGTTCTATGGAGCTAGCTGTGGGGAACCTTGTCTCCTTCTCCAGAATGTGAGTGATTCTTAGGACAACTCCTTAGTTATCTTCCTTTCTCCCCCTGAAACCAGAATAATGCCTGGTATATATCAGCCCTCAAAAACACCCCCATGAACTCCCAGAAGGCTCAGAACACACCCAGATTCCATTCTGAAGCCACATCTACAGGCCTGGATTCTTGCTCCACACTTTCCTCTTATCTTCTGCCCATATTCTTTTTACTCTTAGACTCATTCAAGAGCTCCTTCAGCAACCTCCTCCCAGTTTATCCTCTTCACTGGCATCATTTGCCTTTTATTCTTTCTAGAATCAAGGTTTTGATTCTGGAGGCCCACAGCTCTTATGAGTTTTAACCATATGCGAACAAAAACTTCAACAAACAGCTCCTTGTGGGAGCCAGACTCTGATATGGTCCCTGTTGATCCCTACCTCCTGGTGCTCATACCTCATGAGGTGTGAATTATCCCCTAACACTGTACTGTGTCATGCTGTACCTATTGTGTGAGCAGTAAGATGAGGCAGCAGTGATGGCATGTCACTTCAAGATGAAGGCATAAATCTCTGCAACTTCTTCTTGGCCTCTCCCTATCTCTTTCCTTCCTCCCTGCAATGTTATCAACAGCCACATAGAGAAGCCCACATGAGAGGAACTGAGGTCTCTTGACAGCAGTCATGTGCGTGATCCTGGAAGTGGGCCCTCTAGTCCCAGTTGAGCCTTCAGATGACTGCAGCCCTGGCTACCTGCTTGACTGTCACCTTGTAGAAGATCCTGAGTCAGCACTTCCCAGCTAAGCTGCTCCCACATTCCTGATGCTCATACACTATGTGAGAAAATAAACATTTGTTGTCTTCAGCTGCTAAGTGTTGGGGTCATTTGTTACGCAGCAACAGATAACTAATACATTCCCTTCTTGGCAATAGATGATAGGGCTGCAAGATTGGTACCCACCCAGAGTAGATAGGGCTCAACTGCCTGCATGCCCACATGCCACATGCACACTGACCATGTATTCACATAGCACCCTGAGGCTTACCATCACTGTAGTCAATAGGGGAGTAGGAGCCAAGGAACAGGGAAGCAGCAAAGCTACTGACCAAAGAAATTCTCTGTAAAAGAAAGAAATCCCAGTGAGAGATGACTCATTTCCACATACCCTAAGCTACCAAATGCTTCTGGCACATAAATACACAATATGAAGAGTATTAAACTAGAGAGGGAAATGGAAACTTGGAGCAAAATATCTAAGAAAGGTGTCTATGTGTCCCAGAGAAGAGTAGCTGGAATACCAAGAACTGACTTCTCGGGAGAACACTCACCACAGTTTCCAACAGGCCATAAAACTGCCAAGTTCATCAAAGACAAAAAACAAAAGTCCCATGAGAAAGTCATGCTCAGGGAAGCTGGTTTTCTACCTGGAATCTACATACTGGGGAATGCGGTGCCCTGATTTGCTTCTCCTATTTCTGTGGTCTTTGCATCTGGTCTCAAGGGAAGTGTGTGTGTGACCACAGGACTCAGAACTAACCAGGATATTCAGAGGTTCAGGAAAGTTGGCCCCTCAGAACCAAAGACCCCCCACCCAAAGCCTACATTAATGGCTAATGCTGCAGAGTAATCTGAAACCTTGAACCATTAAGTAATAAATTGCATGTTAATTTTCAAGATTTAAAAGGCACTTTGGTTTAACATAAGCTGATCATTGTCTTATGACAAGATGAAAATCTCTAGCCAGGGTGTGGAGCTGCTTCCCTGGCAGCATTAAGTGCTGGCTTTCAGCAACTGCAGAACCAGGAATGAATCTGGGTTCCTGTGACACAGGCTCTGGCTGAAGGGCCACAGCTGGGGTCACAAAGGCCCAGCCCTACATGCTTCCAAAGAAAACACTGTTCCATGTCAACCAGGTTTCTGGTAGCCATCCTGCATTAACCATCCAGGAAATTGAGTGGACACAGCCCAAAGGGCGCCCAGATCTCCTACTCAGGAAGACACCAGTCCCCACCGCTAACACCCTAACCCTCAACCTCGTCCCTCTGGTCATGAAAGTCCCTGACTTCTTTCCCACATTCCATTCTTTCCCTCCTCTTTGGAAATAGCCTGACAATTAGAAAAAAGCAAATTGAATATATCATCTTTTAATGTCTATGCATCAATGTTTTAAGTCACTGTATATGAGCTATATTTATGCTAATATATGATCAAAGGAATTCAGCTGTGATTTTCAATCAAACAGGACCAACCTCCGTGTGTGAGTAGGCCTCGGGGTTCTGCTGGTAAATCTTTGCAATTTGGTTTCCTGTAAAACGCTGGAAAAGAAGCATACAATCTTGGAAACCCAAATTCTACACAGAATAAATAATCAGCTCATAAAGTGAGTTTAATGTAACATGCTCTGGATAGTAGTTGGTACAACAAAAGCTTTTAAAAGCAAGCCCAGCCAGGCACACTGTGTGTACTTATAATCCCAGAGACTTGGGGGTTGGGGGTTGAAATGGGAGGATTGCCTGAAGCCAGGCGTTCAAATCCAGCCTGGTAGACTTAGTGAGATCCTATCGTTAATAAATAAACAAATATTTTTAAAGTAAGCCCCAAATCTGGAAATGCTTGATATCTGCTGAAACCCAAAGTGCTTTTAGTCTTTGAATCCTTAAAATATTCTTGGTAATCAAATACTCAGGCAGTAAACAATCACTCTGTACCCACAGGACATGGGAGTGAGTAACTTCTGGGCCTTCCTGGAGGACCTCTCCCATGCCAAGACAGGACAACACTGTGTGAATGACCCTTGCTCTTTACACAATACAATGCTTATTTTTTGTTGTTGTTGTTTTGGGTTTTTTTGAGTCAGAGTCTCACTCCCACCCAGGTTGAAGTGCAGTGGCACAACCACAGCTCACTGCAGCATAAACCTCCTAGACTCAGGCGATCTTTATGCTTCAGCCTCCCTGGTAGCTGGGACTACAGGGGTGCCATGACACACGGTTAATGTTTTTAATTTTTAAATTTTTTGTAGAGACAAGGTTTCACTATGTCACCCAGGCTGGTCTCAAACTCTTGGGCTCAAGCAATCCTCCTGCCTCGGCCTCCCTAAGTGCTAGGATTACACACATGAGCCACCATGCCAGGCCAAGATGACTGCTCTGACCAAGATATCAGAACAGTGGACTCAGATATTTCCCATTCACATTCTCTTATTTCAGGTGGCCTAAGTAGAACTGGCCCTCTCCCCAAATATTCTACACCAGTGAGGTCATGTGACCCAAGTTGGGCCAATCATAGCCACTGCTGGGACTGTGGCTGAAGCCAGTAGACAGAGGCACGCTTTCTTTCTTTCTTTTTTCTTTACCAGGTACTGCACTAAGTGCCTTATATGCACTGACTCCTTTCAACTTCAAATCTACCCAAAACGTAAGTCCTGTTGTTCCCAGGTTACAGAAGATGAGACTGAGGTGCCATCCTTGTCCCTATGCACAGCAGTGCCATGTGAGGAGCACAGTTGTATGCATACCCAGCCTGACCTGAACACCCAAAAGGAGGCCTGCCCTTGCTCCACAGGCACACAGAGCAGCGGGCAGCCTGGATCAGGACCCAGGAGCTAGAATGCCAGGTCCTAGTTCCACGGAGCAGACCTCCCATGACCTCATGTGATCCCCACAGAGGCAGGTCACCAGTTACGTCCTTGTGGACACCCAGGAAGAATGCACCAGAGCCTGAAACCAGAACCAGCCCAGCCCATCTCAAGCACTGCCTACCTCATAGGCACGGGACCCGGTGAGGCGGCTGAGAGCCTGATTCCCGCCCACGGCAGCCTCCAGTTGGCGGCACTGGTCTGTGGTGCTGAAGTCCATCCACACCGGGCAGTCACTGATGGAGAAACAGGCCTGGGAAGAGTGGCAAAGGCACAGTCTTGAGCTCCATCCACGGACTACGAGAGTTGCCCCAGAGCCGGCAGTCACACCGCCCATCACAGTAGGTGCGGCACCTCTCTCAAGGTGACCTTGGAGACCCATGGGCAAGTCCTTCAGGCTTCAACCTTGACCTGGCCCAGTGGGCTCTCTCCCCAAAAGCCTGTGGTTGAAGGCTCCTACGGTGAGGGTGCCTGGAACATAGCCAACACTGAAATAAATGAGCAGGGAGGGCTACAGCTGCGGCAGGGTGTGGGTTGTGCCAGGCATTTGGAATCCAGGAGGGAAAGAGAAGCCAGGGCCCCTGCCTCTCAGCAGCCTCACCAGGAGGCATCAAGCACCAAGCACGGGGGTGGGGGTGGGGAAGTTGGTGGGGCGGCCGAGGGTAGGGCATGACCTAACTCGTGTGATGAGAGCAGTAAATACCTGCCCCTCTGTCCAGACACGAGGTACTCTATCACAGGGAGACAGAGCAGACCACGCTCACAGGACAATTGACGAAGCCACCTTCTTATGCTCTTGACAATGCACAGAAACCCCACCTTCAGGGCCCACAGGGCTTGGGGCCCTTCTCCCAACTTTGCAGAAGTTTCTCAGGCTCACACAACATGGTCACAGTTACCTGCAGCTGCTGGCGTAGCGGGAGGGCTGGTGATAGGCTCATCAGTGCCCGTCCGGCCCCAGCCTTCCAGTATATACTTCCATGTTGCTGTCGAGGGGAAACCCAAGCACATGTTCATGTGGCCATACACCAGTGTCACAGCCTCCTGGAGACATGGAAAGACCCCAGACCGCATGCCAAAGAACTGGGTTCCAAGCCTGCCCTGCCACCTCTTAGCCACAGAGCTAATCATCTTTATTAGAGTCAGTTTCCATTTCAATAAAATGGGGAGAAACTCTGCCCTGTTAACACTCAGACTTGTAGGAAGCACCCAAGAAAGAATTATTGGTCTACACTTTTTTTTGAGTCGGAGTCTTACACTGCTACCCAGGCTGGAATGCAGCGGCATGCTCACAGCCACCGCAGCCTCTATCTGCTGGGCTCAGGTGATCCTTCTGCCTCAGTCTTCCAAGTAACTAGGTCTACAGGCATGTGCCACCATGCCTGGCTAACTTTAAAATTTATTTTAGACATAAGATCTCATCAAGTTGTCCGGTTTGGTCTTGAACCCCTGGGCTCAGGCAATCCTCTCACCTCTGCCTCCCAAAGCACTGGGATTACAGGCATGAGCCACCACAACTGGCAGTGGTCTAGATTTTGGTGCCTTTGGTAAAACTGTATTGCTTATAATATTATCTGAAATTCATCCACCTATTCATTCAACCCATTCATTCATTTAATCAAACAAACATTTATTGAGTACATAGATCATGATAGGCTTGGGACAGATGAATAGGAAGATACTATTGTCCCTTATTTTTCAGACTATTGGAGTTGAGTCAGGAGAAAAGACACAAATGTACAATTATAAAATCCTATGGAGCTGCAGTGACAGGGCTGTGGGAACAGAGAGGAGGCACCTATCCAGCTGGGGGTGTAGATGGGTGGAAGTGGATGTGATATCAGGAAAGGGTCCCAGAGTTGGGTGCTCCTTGCAGAGAGTAGCCACAGGTGAGGGACAGCCCAGCAGATCCAGGGGAGAGTGGCATTCTAAGCACTGTGCTTGAGGCTGGGATGGGGGGGGTGTTGAGGAGCTGGAGGGAGAGGTGGCAGCTTGAGCACTGAGGGCCTGAAACCCATGCTCAGGAGTTTGGGGTTTATCTTGGAGGTGGTGGATTAGCAGGCGAGTGATGTGGTTAGGGCTGAATGTATGACTTCATGGCTTGTGGGAGTCATGGAGAAGGCAGGCTGGAGGCAGGGAGGATAAAGCAGAGGCCCAGAGAAGAACGGCAGGCACTTGGTCTGGGGCAACTGAGGCAGTGCTCGAGAAGGGGCAGGATGTGAGGAGTCCAGGGTGTGGATGGGAAGATGGAGGAGTCAGGCATGACATTTGAGTTGTGCCCTAGGTGGATGGGAGAATTCTCCAAGAAGGGGAACCCAAGGAGGTAGCCTAGGGAAAGACAGAGCACTCAGTCTGAAACGGGCTAAGTTTGAGGCCTTTGTGAGATGGAGCAGGGGATGTCTAGGAGGGAGATGAGTGACCAGCCCTGGGGTTCAGTGAGAGAAGTGGACAAGCTCACTCAGGGAATCTCTGCTTAGTTTAACAAGAACCAGAGCAATACATTTCTGTGAGATCACTTGGAGAACAGGCATCTTCAAAAAAGTGAGTCAGTGTTTTCTAGTGAAGATGTGAAAACATGGTTGTCCAGCATGGAGCAAAGTGATCGCAGAACAGCCCAGCAGAGGATAAGATGGACTCTCAGGTCCTGACTTCCCTCCCTAGCAGCTCTGGGGTCTTGGGCTAGTGACATCACCTCTCTATGCCTTGTGTAAACATCAATGATAAGAAGAACAGTAGCCAAAACTTCAATAAGGTTTATTCTGTCCAAAGCACTGTTCTATGTATTTAACTCTCACATGACCCTACAACAGATGAGGATACGGAGGCACCAGAAGGCAGAGCATTCAACCCAGGTAGCATGCCCAGAGCTCTTGTGCTAACCACTCCACAAAACTGCCCTGCAGAATTGCTATAAGGACTCAGTTGGATAAAGTATGTGAAGCCCTCAGCGTTTTGTCTGGTGTACACTAAGGGCATGGTCAATGTTTTTGATATTACGATGACTACTCTTTCTACTACTAACATTACTAACATTATTAGTATCATTTCTGACTTTGCTCTTACTTCCGGAACACAGAAAAGCAATTTTGGTGCCTCCAAGCAGTCATAATAAATTTATGTCAAATGCTTCCTCCATCCCCTTTAAGGAACCTCAATTCAGTTCTCTCACCAAGCATCCCAGTTTGTGTAATATTTAATCAAAAGCCCTATCTCAGATCTTTCTGCAAGGAGACAAGTTATACAGTCTCCAAGGTAAAACAGATACAGGGATTTTTACTAACAATTAAATGTGTGCAGTGGCTCTCAAGAATGAGCACCTTCCCTTCAAGGGGAGCTGTCACCTTGACACCCACACCATTGTCCAAGACAGCCACCCTCCCTTGTCAGACAGAGGCTGCTGCGAACGAACCTGGCCTGCCCCGGACAAGGCTAAGACTTGAGAGAAGTCAAAGCCAGAAGCTTTCATCTTCTCTAAGATGACATCCAGAGCCTACGAAGAAAAACAGATCACCCATGATTATATTGATCCACTGAATCAGCCAAACACACGAGCCTCAGAATTGAAACACAGTGCTGCCCTTACAGCGGAAGGTTCTGGGATAGTGAAGGATCTGTTGACTTGGGATTTGTAAACCCTAGAATACATTAATTTAATTTAACATGTAGGCATCTCAGATAAAAAGGCCAACTATGCTAAGAATATTTTAAAATAAATGGAATAATAAACCATCAATCCTTAAATTTTGCTTCTCCAATTTGTAACCTCCAAGCGCTCAGGAAGAGCAAAAACAAGACAGCTCAAATTTTGGCATTTTCAATCTACCATGTTAGTGATCTGACTTTACTGCAAAAGAAAAGCAAAGAGTAAAGTTGAGGGCTCCCATAGGAGCGGGGCTCCAGACCTGGACTCTATGCCCAGGAGCCCATAGTTGGAGGGAGTGGTAGGGATAAAGGTGATTTGTCCCAAGTTGTCATTTCACCCTCTACCATCTGGCTGGACTCTTCACGTTAACAAGACCCCATGAGTGGGATGAATGGTGGTACCCAGCAGAGCTTGACAGCTTGACACTAACCCCTCCTAAGATTTCACAGCAGGAATTAGAGGTTCAGTTCAACATGTATTTTCCTTGAGAGCAGAGAAGCCCCTCCAGCCTTTATCTGACTGCACCATCCCTAGCCTATGCTGGGAGGGTTCCTTTCAGTCCTGGCTGTGGCTGCCAAATCCAGCCCTACTTGTCAAAACATAGGCAGAAAGTAGGGCATGGCTGCTCAGGATCAGAAATCATCCTGGTTCCAACCCCAAGCCTGGCTCTCTCATGCCCTGATCACTTCCCCAAGTGAAGGCAGTGGCCTATCAGAGACCTTCAGTATCACTGGGACCTCTTGTCACTGACCCTTGAATTGGTTACTGGACAAAAGCCTGGGCATACTGACCCAGCTGAGGCTGAGCCTAGCCCCAGGAACCAAGTGGACTCCATTTTCCCATGAGGACTAGTCTCAACAGATGCTTTCATGAGCTGCCACCTTTGGGCTTCCTAGCAAAGCACCAAGTCTGCCAGTAAGACAGGTTGTGGACAGAAGGAGAACAGGAATCCCTGCACTTACCTGGACCCACATCAGGACAGGAGAAGTGACTGTCAGTCCATCCTTGTGCACATGAACACCACCCTGAGTCCTGCAAGAACAAAAGAGAATGTGGGAAAAAGCTCAGAGCAGACCAAGCATTGCAAAGGTGGTGAGGACCTTGTGGTAGCTGGATCTTGGATACCTCCAGCTGAAGAAGAACCTCTCCCCAACCTCAAGTGGGAACTGTAGACTGAATAGGCACAAGGGTGGCTAAGATGGAAAGAGAAGGCATGGAAATTGCTCGAAGTGGCCCAGAGAAGGCAATCTTGGAAAGTCCCTTCTAAATAAGCCTTCTAGATATGAGGGCTCACCCTGGAAGGTAGGTAAGGTGTCACCTGGTACAGTGGTCATGAAGGAACTGGGGGCGGCAGGGTTGGATTGAAAGCCCTGGGAAAGTCCAAGTTTGGATAGGTGGAGAAAGAGAGGCCACCCAGTGGTGTTGCATCCACAGAAAGTTCTCGGCGATTGCAACAGACCAGGGAGCCCTTGAACTGCAAGCCCTGGAAGGCTACCTGGAACCTGCTCCCTGCCCTCCTCACCCCTACAAGACCCTCATGCAAAGAGCTGATTTGAAAAAAATCTAGCCCTTTCAACTATAGATAGACAGCTAGGCTCAGAATCTACACCAAGACACTATTAGGTAACCGTGTGATCCAGCCATTCTATTCCTAAATATCTAACCAAGATAAATGAAAGTCAATACAAAGATTTGTACAAAAATGTTAATGCCAGCCTTATTCGTGATAACAGACTAGAATCAACCCAGGTGTCCCTCAACAGGTGAACAGATACATTGTGGTACATATATGATGCAGTATTACAGAGCAATAAAAAGCATGATTTTTTTTTTTGAGTTGGAGTCTCTCTCTGTCACCCAGGCTGGAGTGCAGTGGCATGCTCACAGCCACCCCAGCATCGACCTGCTGAGCTCTGGCGATCCTTCCACCTCAGCCTTCCAAGCAACCAGAACCACAGGTGCGTGCTACCACGTCTGGTTAATTTTTGATTTATTGTAGAGATGAGGTCTCTCCGAGTTGCCTGGGCTGATCTTGAACCCATGGGCTCATGTAATCCACTCGCCTTGGCCTCCCAAAGTGCTGGGATTACAGGCTGAGTTACTGAGCCCAGCCAAACATGAACTATTAATGTGTTCACCAACACATCGCAAATGATTATGCCGAGTGATGGAAGCCAGACACAAAGGAGTACATATCATATGACTCCATTCACATAAACAGACTAGAAAATGCAAATTTATCTAGAGTGAGAAAAGCAGATCAGTGGTTGCCTAAGTACAGTGGGGAAAAAAGAGCACAAGGAATGTTCTGGGGGTGATGTAAACATTTTGTGTCTTGACTATGGTAGTAGTTTCACAGGTATAGGCCTATACCTGTGAAAACACATTGAATTATACATTTCTAATAGAATGTGGGGTTTTTTTGTACATAAATTATACTCAGTAATACTGATATTTTAGCCAGGCACAATAGCTCATGCCTGTAATCCCAGTACTTTGAGATACTGAGGCAGGAGGATGGCTTGAAGCCAGGAATTTAAGACCAGCCTGGGCAACATAGCAAGACCTCATCTCTATTAAATAAATAAATAAATAAATAAATATCCAAACCACATCTGCTAGATGGGATATGAGGTGGTGGAGAACCAGATATTTTTTAAAAGACACTATTAAGAATAGGTGAAAGAGAGCATCAAAATTTTACTGTAGACCAAAAAAACAACAACAATAACCCCAAAACAATGTTGTTTTCACAAAACAGATGAAAGTTGCAACCAGATATTCTGCCATGTACTTAACAACTTAAAAATGGCAATTCCAGCTAAAAAGGAAAACCAGGGCCATCCCAAACCCCTAGAAGCTCCAGGCTCAAATGGTTTCACAGAAAAATTCTACCGAACCTAAAGAGCAAATATTTCTAATACTATTTAAATTGTTCCAGAGCACCTAAAAAGAAGGAAATATTTTCCAATTATTTTTATGAAGTAAATATAAAATTGACACTGAGACCTAACAAATACTGTATCAGAGCACAAACAACAAAAGAAAAAAAAAATTAGACATAATCAAAAGTGAAAATCTTATTTCAAAGGATCATCAAGAAAGCGAAAAGACAACCCACAGAATGGGAAAAGGTTTTGAAATCATATGTCTGACAAGGAACTTGTATTCAGAATATATAAAGCAGCTTTACAACTCAATAATAAAAGACAGATAATGCAGTTTAAAAATAGGCAAAGGATCTAAATAGACATTTCTCCAAAGATGACACACAAATGGCAAAGATATTCATCATTAGTCATCAGAGAAATGCAAATCAAACTCTGGTGAGAGAGAATTTAACACCCATTAGGATGGCTATAATCCATAATCAAGAAGACAGTCACTAGTAAATGTCAGCAAGGATGTGGAGAAATTAGAACCCTCATACACCACTGGTAGAAATGGAAAACGGTACAACCACTTTGGAAAACAGTTTGGCAGTTCCCCAAAATGTTGAACACGGAGCTAATCATATGATCTAAAAATTCCACTTCTAGGAATATACCCAAAAGAAACGAAAACACATGTCCACACAAAAACGTATACATTGTATTTGTTTGCTCAGGCAGCCATAACAAAATATCACAAACTAGATGGCTTAAACAATAAGCATGTATCTTCTGATATTTCTAGAACTAGAAATTCATGATCAAGTTATATAATCCTTCTGCACAGAGCAACCACCATGTGAAGAGGCAGCAAGAGGATGGCCATCTGCAAGCCAGAGGGGCCACAGAGGAAACCAGCCCTCCCAGAACTTTGATCTTAGACTTCAAACCTCTAAAACTGTGAGAAAATAAATTTCTGCTGTTTAAGTCACTCAGTCTGTGGTATTCATTATGGCAAGCCCTAGCAGACTAATACAACAACTGAACTCATGATCGTTCTCTCCAAAGCCCATTCTTTTCCGCAGTCCACCATCCACTCCAAAGGCCAGCCAGAAACTTCACCCTCACACCTCACGTTTGATTCTGTACCAGGACCTATCAATTTTACTACCCACCTCGCTCAAATTCATTATTTCTTACCTGATGACGTACAAAAACAAACAAGAGACTCTTCAAAGGTTTCCCCACACCTACTCTGGCCACCCCCATCTGCTCTCCCATTGCACCAAGAAAGATCTTTCAAAACACAAGTACAACCTGTCACACCTCACCCCTACCCATTATGGCCTTTCAATGGCTGACCATAGCTTGTGTAAGAAAGACGAACTCCATGCCACAGTCTATAAGGCTCTGCCCAGACTCTGCGTCCCTCTCTCCCCTCCTAGCCACAATGGCTTTCTTCGATTCCATGAGTAAACCGTGCTCTTTCAGGGCCTTTGCACACTCTGTTCCTTCCACCTGGAATGCTCTTCCATCACCTGGCTGACTTCTATCACTTGGCTAACTTCATTCATTCAGATCTTAGCTTAAGCACTATTTCCTCCCGGGCTCTCCCTTCCAAGTCTGGGTCACATTCCTTTATTAAGCACCTGGAGAAGTAAGTTCCTTTCCTTCAGAGGTCTTCTCAGAGTTTATAATGAACACTCCTTTGTGAGATTCTTTGGTTGACATCACTTTCCCTGCTCAGTGGGACGCTCTGGAAGGGCAAGGACAACTTCTCTTCTTGGTTCACCCAGTGCCTACCAGGTGCCTGGCACAAATTGGTCTTAACTGATATGTACTACATGTGAATGAATGAATGGAACCAGTAAGGGATGGGGGAGACTCCAAGTACAGGAAAAAGATGTTGAGAGGTCTACCAAGAGCAGCGCTCCTATAGTTTGGTGAAGCCAGAACACTGTGGTTTGTGAATGTAAAAGGTTATGGGAGGACCCCAAACCAACCCCCCCAACACACACACACATGCACACCAGGTACATACCCAAATTCTGGAAGGTCTCTGTCAAAATGTACACTGTCCTCATAGAAAACATTCAACTCTGCATCGACTGCAACAACTTTCACCTGGAAGGCATTTTTAAAAATGATGTATAGAATAATTGTCCTCAGCTTCTACACCACCAGTCCAGAGGGTCCTAGCATCACCAGGTGAGGCCCAGCACCCTAGGAGTGGTTCAACCTAGAGACCTCCTTGAAGGTAGGGCTGCCTCATGGTAATTGTGGCAACAGAGGCTTCATCCCGCATCCTATCCAAAGATTTAGTAAAACGAAGAAACTGAGACTCAGTAAAACACCCATACATCTTTGTTCCCCAAACAGTCAAAGCCAAGACCCCTAGAGGCAGATGTTGTTCACAGATGAGCTGGGGCCTGCACCTTACAAGGAGGCTTGAAATAGTCCCAGAGGAAAAGGAACGGGAAGCCAGGTTTGGAGACATGTCTGGAGGTACATGTCTGCAGGGGTATGAGAGACCAGGCAAGGCCTATGGGGCTGTTCCCACAGGCCATGATCATGGTCCAGGGATACTATGTCTCACTGAAGCAGATCTCCAAATTCAGGTGTATAACTCCTTTGCTAGAAAGATGGAGAAACTAAGGTCTTCGTAAAGTAACTTGACATGTCCAGACACACGGCTTTCGACCCTCGGGATTTCTCCATCAGGGACTGGCCAGAGGTCTGCCTCCCTTGATCCACCCAAGGAGAGGAGTTTGACTCCAACTGCGTTTATTTCCCAAATCCTTTTTAGGAGGAGGCACCCCTGGGCACCCCATGCCCAGTTTGAAGGCCGATTTTGATTCTGCTCCCATGTGCGCGGGCCTTGGGAGCAGCACGGACCTCCTTTGGCCAGCAGTCCTGGGACCGCAGACCTGGGCACGCTGGTGCCAGCCACGGGCGGTCACAGGGAAAGGTAAAGTCCATTTGTACATTGGACCAATTCCACTTTTTTTTTCCCCCCAATTCCACTTTTTAAAAAAGATCCCGGGCGGTGATCTGATTCCAGGTGACTGGGTATGTCTGTGCGCACAGTCTAGCCATGTCTGTTCCCCTGCCTCGCAGAAGCTGAGTTCCTTAGGGTCCCTGTCACTCAGTGCCCGCCCATGACAGCGCACCACTCGCCGAGTCCTCCAGCTCCTCTGGGCACCCAGGTCCCACCAGGGGGCGCCTTCCATTTCCAGGGG